GACACTTCCACACTTCCTCCTCCACCTTTTAATGACTTCTTTACATACTCGTGCTTCAGTCTTTCCCCAGTTTGACGGCTATTTCCCATACAGTTCTCCTCTCTCCACACAACATGCTCCTCAGCAAAGGTGGGTCTAGAATTTTGATTCTTTCTGCTAGTGAGAGGCTTCGTCACTGCAAAGTGTGCTTTCAGTCTGACTTCTCTTAAACGTGCTGAGACAGATCCTTACTCTGTTCAGCGCTGAACTGGTGAGCAATTCCAGCTGGACGTGGACGACAAGCTTTTTTGGGGGACTTGAACCTACAATATTCGAGAAATCACTGATTTGGAACGACCAGTTTCTCTTGCAGTGGCTGAAAGATTCATCCCTTTAGCTTTCATCTGGACAACCTCCTGTCGAAAGGTTTTAGTCACCTTAGACCGGCCCGTTGTCTTGCAATCTCAGTGAAAATTAGAGGAATGCTGCCAGTTAAATAGGGATTGTCATATAAATAAAGAAATTAGCACCATGTGCCAGATTAACACAGATAACTATGTGTGTTCTCTCATTTTGATCAGTTATTTTTCAAATATCTCATATAAGCTTTTTATACTGTGCTTCAGAATACAATTCATTTATGAAATATGCTAAAAAAACTGCCCTTCTACCACTGTTAGGATAACTTCAAATAGGACTAAGCAGTGACCTTGACATTTTGGAAATTGTAGGTTGTTCTCTAATTTTGATCTCCACTGTACAAATCTTTTGTGTTTTATCAACTCTTTTACGTCCTTATTACATATATAATAAACGTCCTTATTATGTTTCTGGGCCTTGACCATGGTAGGACCCTTGCTGTCTATATATGGGAGGGTCAGAAAGCTGTTGGATTTCATCAAAAATATCTTAATTTGTGTTCCGAAGATGAACGAAGGTCTTACAGGTTTGGAATGACATGAGGGTGAGTAACTAATGACAGAATTGTCATTTTTGGGTGAACTATCTCTTTAAGATAACATCTAAATAACAATATGATGGCTGATAAACGGGCAAAATCTAATTCTGTTGAAGTGAAATACGTACAGTATGATACTACATACAAAAAAGTACAGTAACATTACTTAAGAGTTTATGAGGATTCTAGGTCTTACCTCCACATATCTACGTAGATATCATTATTTCCTGAAAGTGAGTCCATTATGGATACTTCCATCTTTGGAACATCTGCTACCAGAAGTACCCAATGATTGCCTCTTACATGCATTGGAAGGAAAATCCATTTCATTTGAGAGAACACCACCTTAAAATAAAAGACATCAAGAAAAAGACACAATATACTGACAAATATAAACATTGTAAGATTTACACTTGTCATAATCACCTTTTCAAACATCCAGGAGTCAAATCTGTCACACTCCCAAAGTAGAGGCATGTAGGTAGAAATATTGAAACAGTGGTATCCAGCGCTGGCTTTGGTGTTGTTTTCGAGCTTCAAAGTGTCCAAATAGCATTTATCACCTGTGACAAACAACAAAGAATCTTAGTTTTGAAGATTTTACTAAGCTTATCCCTCCCTGATATAAAACATTGAACCTATCATGACACCTAATTCTACCTTATCATTTAACCAGTGAGGATGTTTCAGAGTTTCAAAATCACAGCTCCCTAACACCTGTCCACAGACAGACAATCTACCTCCACTGTCTACCTCAACATTCTCTTGCTTGTTCAGCTCTGCCAGAAGTGTCACAGCCTCTGTCAAATAATACCACATTTTAAATTTCACATGCAATAACACCTAAATTAGTTAAATTCCCTTAGTTACAGTATAATACATTTATAACTTCCTTTCTTTCAGAACATGCAACACAACTCCTTGCTCAAGCTCTTGTTCTATCCAGGCTGGACTATTGCAGTGCTCTCTTGGCAGGTCTTCCAGCCACTTCTATCAAACCTCTACAATTAATCCAAAATGCCGCTGCAAGATTAATCTTTAATGAACCGAAAAGAACGCATGTCACACCTCTGTCCATCAATTTGCACTGGCTACCAGTAGCTGCTCGCATTAAATTCAGGGCATTAATGTTTGCCTACAAAACCACCACTGGCTCTGCACCCACTTACCTAAATTCATTACTTCAGAGTTATGTGCCCTCTAGAAGCTTGCGTTCTGCAAGTGAACGGCGTATTATTGCGCCATCTCAAAGAGGCACAAAATCACTTTCACTGACTTTTTCATTAACTGTTCCCCCCTGGTGGAATGACCAGCCCAAATCAATCTGAGCAGCTGAGTCCTTAACCATCTTCAAGAAACGACTAAAAACACATCTGTTCCACCTTTATTTGACCCTCTAACTCTAGCACTTTCTATTCTATTTTAATTCTACTTTATCTATATTTATCTTCTTTGTGTGTGTGTGTATATGTGTGTGCGTGTATGTGTATAATATATGTACGTATGTGTGTATGTATATGTGTATATATATATATGTGTATGTATGTGTATGTGTGTGTGTATATATATATATATATATATATATGTGTGTGTATGTGTGTGTGTGTGTATATAATTTGCAAATAAATTCTTTAAAAATCCTACAATGTGATTTTCTGGATTTTTTTTTTTCTCATTTTGTCTCTCATAGTTGAGGTATACCTATGATGAAAATTACAGGCCTCTCTCATCTTTTTAAGTGGGAGAACTTGCACAATTGGTGGCTGACTAAATACTTTTTTTCCCCACTGTATATATATATATGTGTGTTTGTTTGTATGTATGTGTGTCTATGTATATACAGTAGTGTGAAAAAGTGTTGGCCCCCTTCCTGATTTCTTATTTTTTTGCATGTTTGTCACAGTTTAAGATGAATTTTAAAAAGTGTGCCCCCTAAAGGCACAAGTGACCCCTGCCTGGCCCCCCAGTTACTGTGGTCTAGATAGAACCATCACTGATTCAAACCAATTGAAAGAAATTAAAGATAATATAAATAATATTTGTAATAAATACATATAAAATATAATACATTATTTATAAATATATACTATTTACATATGTATTTTAATACTTACTATTTATTTATTTGTATGTTTGTTTACTCATTGTCTTTACTCATGTTTGTTTACTCATTCTTTTTTTCCAGCTTTTCCCAAATAACCCCAAATAATTTTGAATGACAGCTGATGTTTCTCTGCCTTTCAAATGATTTAGTTTGAACTTTAAATCTTAAATAAATAAATAAAAATAATAATAATAATTATATTGCATTACCTATTCATCTTTCAAAATGACTCATTTGTCCAGTAGATGGAGGTATGCATGCTTGATTTCAGAACTGCTGTCTGGCAGTTGGTGACACTAAAGCATCCCTGCATTGGCACTTTGACCTTCCATTTATAATTTCACAGATAAGATATAAACACTTGTGGACAGAAATTGTTGAATGAATTAATGGTGTCATCAATATGCTCAGCTTAATAGAGGGCAATGTTTACATAACACTCAGGTCACCTTAAGTTGAAGGGCATGTACAATACAGGACAAGTCATCAAGGGGAAAATGTGTAAAAGTTTGTAAATTTTTCCAAAAACACACAGAGCTCGAATTACATTAAAAAAACAGTGTCTACCCCTATAACAACGCCTTATTTAGCTATTTTTTTTCCAAAACTCCATTCATTAAACTGATTACATTTATTTAATAAATAAATATAACAAATCTATCAAATCGACCCATCACACACACACACACACACACACACACACATGTTGTGTTTCCATGTTTTATGGGGACATTCCATAGGCGTAATGGTTTTTATACTCTACAAACTGTATGTGCTATTGCCCTACACCAACCCTACCCCTAAACCTACCCCTTACAGGAAACTTTGTGCATTTTTACTGTCTCAAAAAAACTCATTCTGTATGATTTATAAGCTTGTTTCCTCATGGGGACCTCAAAAATGTCCCCACAAGGTCAAAATTTACTAGTATTACTATCCTTGTGGGGACATTTGGTCCCCATAACGTGATGAATACCAGGTACACACACACACACACACACACACATACATATGCCAACGAATATTATATTAGTTTCTGCATGAAAATTACAGTTTTGGGTATAGCTGACAAGAATATAACAGCTACTTTTATAGCACTTATAAGCATTTTTCAAATTTAAATGTGTCGGTCTCTGTAGCTTTGATAAAGAATATCTCTTTGGTTTTGAGACTTTAGTCTTTGCAACTTCAGGGATCTTATCTATGCACAATCAGCTTGTAACACTCCAAAGAGAAAGGAAAACTTGAAATCGCATCATATGACCCCTTTAAATAAAAAGAGTTTGCACGGTGCGACGTCACCGCTGCGTCATGGACATCTCCTCCCACTCGCTTTGTTTCTTGCTGTTGGACGTGACTGCATCTGTATGAACGTTCGCTTTAAATCATGGCTATTGTGTAAATGTGGGGAGAAAAAAATAGCGTCTCCGTATATGACTTATCCGTGCCATATGATCTCAAGTAAGATCGAGAGCTGCCTTTAGTTTAAAATTAATCAAGGATTTACTGGTTTTATTCGCCGCTGGCTGGGCGATGAAAATGGACCAGGCGGCGAGCCGCTACCAAGTGGTAAGTCTAATTCACGCGTCGTTATATAAGACAATCAAATATGCCATGTTATAGACTGACATAATCGAGTTGTTGATTACTGGCATTTTGTCCGCTTCCCCTTGATCATATAGACTTCCGCATCATGACATCTTCACCGCTACAAAGTGTAGAGTGGCGTTCTTGCGTTCAGGTCCGCTACACGGTGTGCAACTGAATGGACACGTTGCGAAGTTTTATATTGGCATTTCATATTGTCACCCTAACTTAAAAAAATACTCCCCGCCCTTCCCCCAAAATAAAAACAGATAGGCTCGATTTATTAAATGCCAAATACTTCCATGTGATATGCGTGTACGATTAGCTAAGACGCAAAAACGCAACGAAAAAGAGCTCAAGAACGCGACTTGTTTGAGCAGCCCCTAATCAAGCTGGAGATCCTATATAGTGTAGTAGATCATGCTATTTGTAGTAGTTACCATACCGTCGTTTTACTAAAGTAGGCCTTCCATAATGATATCTTAAGCCTATTTGTAATACATTTTTTTATTACATGAATGCTGCAGTTTTACCATAGTAGCTCAATTATTTACACACATATATATATATATATATATATGTATGTGTGTGTGTGTATGCATGTATGCATAATTTTGTCACAATAAAAAAAAGGTTTACATTTTATGGCATCATAGTGCATTCAATATTGTGCATATTAAAGGGTTAGTTCACCCAAAAATGAAAATTAGCCCATAAATTACTCACCCTCAAGTCATCCTAGGTGTATATGACTTTCTTCTTTCAGACGAATCCAGACGAGTCTTTGATCTTTCCAGCTGTTTCATGGCATTCCCCCGGAACTGCTTCCAGTGTACAACAGTGAGCGCAAGCTAAATTAAAGTGATTATTACGTTTTGAATATGGGTATTGTTCTTACAAAAACGCATCGATTCACTACAGAAGGCCTTTGTTCACCCCCCGGAGCCGTGTGAGACACTTTTTTTTAATGGATGGGCACATTTTATTTAACTGCTTTTGGACGGATGCATGCAACACCCGCTGAGTGGCATTAAACCGTTTGAAAGATCAAATACCATTTTTAATGTAACTCCGACAGGACTCGTCTGAAGGATGACTTGAGGGTGAGTAATTTATGGGCTAATTAAATTTTTTGGGTGAACTAACCCTTTAAGGTGTTACAGATAGTTTTGATTCGTTCAAATGCATATTGACGCCATATGGATGTGTGTGGAATATTAGATGCATTTTGAGGTTCAAATTTGACATTTGGCTCAGCTCAGCAAAAAGAACTGCTCTTTATTTAGTACCACTTCTGGCTTTTATAATTCAGCCAAATTTGCCAATGTTTTGTTTGGTATGCGTGCACAAATATCATTAATATAATTTTCAAAGTGATTAAACTAAACCATTAAAAAACAACCTCAGTCCATTCCTTGTGAAGTTCACTCAAATTCTTGAATCGATTTTGCTTGACAATCCTCATAAGGCTGCGGTTCTCTCGGTTGGTTGTGCATCTTTTTCTTCCACACTTTTTCCTTCCACTCAACTTTCTGTTAACATGCTTGGATACAGCACTCTGTTCAAATGCATTTTGAATCATCACGTAAATAAATGGGAAGTTGGGTGCCTGTTGATGTTCAATGTTGAGGCATCACTGGGGCTTTCCAACACAATTTGAGTGGTCACAGGTGATCCTGGAACATTTTAGGGTCACAAAATTGCATTTGGATGCATTTTCAGCAGTTATAGGTATGTTCAGGGGTGCTTAAACCATTTTGTGGCGTCATTTGGCATCATTCAAATGCATTTTAAATCATCATTGGCAGAATTTGGCATGGTTAAATCATTATTTTGAGGCATAGCTGGTGCATTCCAGTGCAATTTGAGTAGTCATTTGGAAGGCCTCATAGGCCATTATAGGCACACTTAAATTGTTCTAATACATTTTGAGGCATGACAGGCGGATTTGGCACATTTACATTACTCTGAACATTAAAGCACTTTGAGACATTAGATCACTTGAACACATTTTGAGGCATGATAGGCATGTTTGTTATTTTTGAATGCATGCTTGGAATCTTCGACAATGTTTTAAAGCATTATAATTAGGGCTGTGCGATTAATCGAAATCGTCATAAAATCGCGATTTGAGCATGCGCGATTTCTAAGTCGCTTTACAGCACGATTTTCCGCGCCCCCGACCTCTCGCAGTATGCTATCCGAACCAATCAGAATGCAGCGCGCCTAAATGGAGCACGAGAACAGAACAGACCGGGCGGGCATACAGACGTAACGCCAGGTTCACATCACACACTCCGTCTGTGGTGCGTATTTTTTCCGCGCCCATGTTAACGGATCAGAGCGTTCACACTGCATGCGATTGCGGTCCGGCAGTGTGCTCCAGGAGCGGTGCGTCTGCAGCAGTCATGCTGCGATCGTTTCCGCAAGGAGTCTATTTCTGCTATGCTGCATGCGCTGGATTAAAGTGACAGCGCATTATTCGTGGTAAAAATGAACATGGATTGACACGGAAATGTAGCAATTACACCATAAATGCATATAATTAAAGGGGTCATATGATGCTGCTAAAAAGAACATTATTTGGTGTAATGAAATGTTTATGCGGTTTAAGGTAAAAAAAACACATTATTTTCCACATACAGTACATTTTCTCCTCTATGCCCTGCCTTTCTGAAACGCGTCAATTTTTACAAAGCTCATCGGTCTGAAAAAGCGAGGGTTGTGCTGTGATTGGCCAGCTATCCAGTGCGTTGTGATTGGCCGAATTCCTCAAGCGTGAGACGGAAATGTTACGCCCCTTACCATATTGTGATGCCCTGTCCGGCCGGAGCGATGATTCAAAAACATGAAAACCCATTATAAACGAGGCATTCGTAGCATCCAGTGGGGACATAATTATGGATTATAATGACTTATACTGTCTTTTTACGCATTGTGTTGCATCGGTAAACATTAAACATTAAACCATGTCTGCATTTGTGATCGGAGAAATGACAAACAACAAGCCCTACTCTACACTGCCCAAAAAACTCGCTTTAAATATATAAAATATAAAAACTCTTTAAATATAAAAAACTTACTTACAGTCTTTGAGTCAGAACAGCCGGCATTGTAGTCTACTCTCCCAGGATCAGGAAACAGTCCTCCATAAAATGTGCTGCACATATCTGAATATTTGGGTTGGGTATATTCTGGAACAGTGTTGTAAATACAACTTAACCACTGATTTCTAGTCGTGTCCATCTTTGGAAGGCCAAACAAAGTAGTTTCGCTTTCACGACGAAACAGCGTCGCACACGGCGGCCTACAGTGAGCAGAGGCCGGGGGCTAGCGTGAGGAACGGCGGGAGGGTTAGAGTGAGCAGAGGCGGCGGGCTTGAGAACGGCGCGGCCGGCGATTTCGACGAAGGAGCGTCCGGAAGGACATGTGACGACTCCGGGCTGGACTCCGCTTCGTCCATGGTGAAAGCCGATCCGGTGATCGGCTTTCACCATGGACGCAAAGTTTGGTGAAAAGGAATTTGGTCTGAGGAATTACCACGGCGCAAAGTTGTAGTAATTCCTCAGCAACCAGCACGGATCAGCTCCAGGCATGACGAAGCAGATATCGCCAAGTATGGTGACCCATACTCGGAATTAGTGCTCTGCATTTACCCATCCAAAGTGCACACACACAGCAGTGAACACACACACCCGGAGCAGTGGGCAGCCATTTTTGCTGCGGCGCCCGGCGCCGTGGTATTGAAGGTGGGAGAGAGCGCTGTACATTCACTTTGGATTTGAAACTTTAGTCTTTGCAACTTTACAGATCTTCTTTATGCACCAA